CCACCCCGTAGAAAATTCCAGTCCCTTCTGTGGGGTGTGTATGGATATTTTATGGAACTGCACATTTACTTAAATATATTCTGTTGCCAGGGTATTCTAGAAAGAAAGCAGTTGATGTTTTTTGTTATTTGTTTGTTTGTTTGTTGCAGATAACACATGGAAGTATACAATGATTTTAAAACTGAAACTGGTTGGAAAAATTCTCACCCCAACCCTCTCTCCCTCGATATAAAACATCCTCAGTTATTTCCTGTTAATGAGCCTCATGAGTTTCTTCTGTTAGGAAAGTAAATGAATATTAAATTGATTTTATTAGTCACCTTTTAATATGATACATGTACATGTGCCTTTTAGCTCAAGAGTGAGAGAGACCGACTGGCTGAGGAATTGGAACAACTGAAGAGAAAGCTTGATGAAGCATACAAGGAAAATGCCACACTTCATGAAAGGTTAGCCTTCAAGTACACTGTAGCTTTACATCACTGAGACAATTGGAAACCTTTGTTATATGAATGCCAAACAATAAAAACTTTACAGTTAGTAATAATATAGAAGCAAGGACTGAACTGTACAGAACTAAGGTGTTTTGTGTGTCTGCTGAAGAGCACTACTTGTATGTTGAGAGGTGAACGTTGATAAATTGTAAATCTTGTAAATTTACCCTGGACTGAAGATGCTATATGGAGACTTGGATATATGTGTAAACCTGACTACTCTAAAATATAAAGTTTTTGTTGTTCATGTTTTAATAAAATTTAAAACCTTGTGGCACTTTTGAAGTAGGGGAGAGTCGTGAATGCAAGTGCAATAACCACGCATATAGACATGTACGAAAAAGGAACTTGTGCCAAATTGTGCTCTTGCTTCACAACTGTGATTAAAACTTCATTCTTGAAGAATTATACATGTATGAAAGATATTGAGTCTGTAGTTGCTGCTGCGACTGAAGATGTACCCTCTTTCAGTAAATAGTGATTTCCCTAACATTGCTGTTGATTTTCAAGGTCTGCACAGGAGTACAAGCACAATTTACAGCTTGTTCATCAGCTGTTACAACAGTAAGACATTTATAAACCACTTTAAACGTGCCAAGCTGCAGTTATGCATTCAGCTGATGTCATTCGTGGTTAACAAAGTCTTATTGATTTAACCTCAGCTGATGAATCACGCTAACACTGCACAGTATTCATGACTTAGTATTAAGCTTATTATTGATAGCAAGCTAAGAAATTAAAACATAAAATCGCTGATGACATTGATTTGAAGTAATTTGTCATTTAATAATTTATTTATAATAATCAAGTTATTATAATGATTAATTGATTTTTAAAATATTATTGTAATAATTATAATCAATTAATTAAAAGTAAATAATTCATGCAAGCAAAAATTATGGGTGAAAATTAACTTAATATTCATTAAAAAATGATTCATTTGTTGATATCTAGGGATCTTTCTAACCAAGTGATTTGTAATTAATGATTAATTATTCTGTCATGTTGTAACATGTACTNTTTTATGAGCCATGATTTCTTCTCAAGACTCATCTGACATTGCACAGACGTACAGACTGGATGCAAGCTCTGAGTATAGCATTGTTAGCTAGTTGCTAGAACTGAACTGAACTTAACAATTTTTCCTTCCAATTTAATTAATAAAATTAAATAACAAAAATATAATTACCACTTGCAATGAGTCACCAGAAACTGTTGTGCCATATTTTCACTTGCAGACGACTCAAGAAAACTTTAAGTTCTCCGACTATGAGGTTCACCGTAGTGAAGGTGATTTTGAGTGGCTTCAGTCAGCATTAGAGGAAGCTTGCCCTGAGAGAATCATCCCTCCTATGGTCTCACACTCTTCATTACATGGTACTACCTACAATAAATTATCAGAAAATTGGGAACTTTGTGCTGCATAGTCAAATTTGAAGTTTTGCCAGACTTGATAGGCCCATAAAAATAAAAGTTTTAAAAGAATTTGTTCATTGATTTCCAGGAAAAATGAGGGAAGTTCAAAGATTTTTATCAAGAATTTGTGCTCACAAGGTAGGGGGACTCATTTAATTTGTT